TAGTGCTTTTTAAAAAATATAATTAAATGAAGACTTCTCAAGTCATCACTTGAATTGGATGTGTCTAATTAGAATCGCGTCTAATCTGCTTATTAACATGCCTCTCACTTCCATGCCTGAATAATAGAGAAGTCCTTTGAAAAGGTTTTTTATGTTTTATTTTTGTTTGCCTGCTGCAGTGAGTTTGATTTTCATGTGATTTAAACTTTTTTTTTATTCAAGTAAGATTTGTTGCTACAAACAGAACTTCTAGAACAGAAGAAACAGCGCACAGTGCTTTTCGGGAATAGCAAAGAGTAATTCACGTCTTAGATTCTTACATTAACTTCTTGGGTAGATGGTGAGGCTGTCAGCGTGAAATAGGAATGAGGAACAGCAAAGGAAGAGGACGCCCAGAGAGGAGGGTTGTAAACTGTCTCTGGATTTCTACTGTCCTTCTGGATTTTGCTAGGGTTTCCCACTCTCCTTCCTGTTTTTACTTTGTTTATTCTGAAGAGGCGGCAACAGACTGGGAGGGGAGGCGAGGGTTCCCCTCTCACTTCGGGTTGCTCTGCGGTGTACTATGTACGTGTGAGGTGGTTTTCCCACATTCCTTTTTGAAAAGTAAGGAATTCATTCTGGGAGCCCACACCTGTCACCTTACGTGGTGATGCTGAAAGGGAACGAGGGAGATGGGCCAAGCGGCAGCAGCAACAACCCTTAGCAGCCACCTGCTTTCAGAGGAGTTTTCTCCCTTCTGCCTTTAGAACTGATTCCTGTCTCCTATCCTTCTTGTCTCATATTTCAGCGCTGTTTCTTTAAAAACTGTAGTAGGTCGACAGAGTGGATATCAGCACTACTAATTTAATGTCTCTCAAAGTGTGCTCAAATTTGGATCAAACGGACTTCCTACATCGTAGGAGGTTTTATAGTTTATCTTTAAAGTTGGATAAAGTTAGCAAGGCCTCCTCCAGGGCCTTCACAAGCATCAGCAGTGCAGTCCTCTTCCCTGCCCCGCCCCGACCTTGACCCCTCTGAACACACACGTGCGCACACACACACACACACACACACACACACACACACACATCCGCCACGCACTTCCAAGTTCCAGTGTCTTAGCTCGGGCAGTTCTTCACATCTGGATGATGGTACTGTCCTTTCAGCCTGGCAAGTTTCTACCAAACGTTAAGACCCTACAGAATATCACTTCTTTTAATTCCTGCCTTTTCCCAGTCATCATTTAATCTGCTTCCTTGAATTCTACATTGCCATAGATTCCTGTGAATCATTTATCGTGGCACTTAATACACTGTATTGTGTAGGTTAAAAAAAAAAGTCAGCACATCTCCCCCATCTGGCCTGGGAGCTCTATAGACGAATATGAGTAGACCATCAGTGGCAATACTGTAGCTTTAATGACATTGCTGCTAACTATCATCAGAAGAGTTGTGTGTGTGTTTTCCATATAGCTTTAAAAAGGGGAAAATGTGTTAACATGAGGTTACCTAATAGTGTTGAGAAACTGATAAGCATTAACTAGGAAAAAAATCATCCTTGTTTGTAAAACATTACCAACTAACCCTATACTTTCTGTTAATGATTTTATATAACCAGTGATAGAAACTAGTCTGGAGAACTATACAAAGACGTGGTTAGTATTATAGCCATTGAGTTGATGTTGAAATTTGTATTTGCTTGGCTTGATGTAAGATCATTACCTGTGTTATCTAAGTTCATTTATTAGATTGATTTAGAATTATCTTTTAGTATTGGGCTAATTTGAAAATTTCCCTTTGCTGAGATTAGGTGGTTTAAATGATAGAATTTCTATGTCCATAGATGTCAATGCTCTAGGAAGGAGGGCTTAGGGGAACCAATTTTGTTGGAAGAGAAAACTTGCAGCTGCCTTTGGGTAGCACTGTTCTTGACACTGAGAAACGTCAGTTGTTCCTAAAGCGGAGAGGAGAGTAGTGGAGTATGGGTGCTGATGTGAGGGGTAAGGGCCTGTGTTACAGTGGGACGGATGGAGGTGAAGGCATCGGTAGATGTTTCAAAGTGAACATCTACAAGACTGGAACGGCTTGATAAGGATGATGAAAAAATAAATAAAAATGAGCAACCTGAGCATGACACACCTTGAGAATTTGGATGGTGACCTTGAGTGGGGCAGGGGAAGGTAAATTCACTCCAGTTAACTAGGGGATTATCTCCTTTGTGGCTTATCCATAAATGCGCTTGCAGCCTTTAGTAGAGGTCAAACAGAGGCATAAAGGCTCTGAAAGAGGTGGACGAGCACCTCATTTTCTTCCCGTCATATTCCTACATCTGCTCAGTCCTTAAAGCATTCAGCTAACTAAGCAGAAAATTGACAAAAAGTACATTCAAGTCCTTTCCCCCATCTCCTTCCTTCCCAAACAGTATCGCCTCAAGTAAAATAAAAGTATTGAATCATTTATGGAACCCACTGGAAATGCTAGCCCATGTTCCAACCCACCTCCTCCTGGCAAAATCTGAGGAGCTAGGAAGAGCTGGCCTGTGTGCAGGACAGGATGAGGAGGTTGGAGGACTTCTCCCAGCCTCTGGAACTCGATGGATCTCATCAATGTCCTTTCCTCCCTCTGAAGCTTTTTGAGATTCCGGAACATTAGCAAACCTATATAGCCCATTAAGTTTGTGTGTGGCAAGTAGGAGTGCTCAAATATTTATTTGAATAAATAAATAGAAATTTTTTAGCTCCTCAAAAAGTCCAGCCACACCTAGAGTCTGTCATACAGAGTGAAGTAAATGAGCAAGAGAAAAACAAATACTGTATGCTAACACATATATATGGAATCTAAGAAAAAAAAAAAAGGTCATGAAGAACCTAGGGGCAGGACAGGAATAAAGATGCAGACATAGAAAATGGACTTGAGGACATGGGGAAGGGGAAGGGGAAGCTGGGACAAAGTGAGAGAGTGGCATGGACATATATACACTACCAAACGTAAAATAGATAGCTAGTGGGAAGCAGCTGCATAGCACAGGGAGATCAGCTCGGTGCTTTGTGACCACCTAGAGGGGTGGGATAGGGAGGGTCGGAGGGAGATGCAAGAGGGAGGAGATATGGGGATATATGTATATGTATAGCTGATTCACTTTGTTATAAAGCAGAAACTAACACACCATTGTAAAGCAATTATACTCCAATAAAGATGTTAAAAAAAAAAGTCCAACCACAGAACACTCTAAGACATAAATCACAGCAAGATCCTTTTTGACCCACCTCCTAGAGGAATGGAAATAAAATCAAAAATAAACAAATGGGACCTAATGAAACAAAATCTTTTGCACAGCAAAGGAAACCATAAACAAGATGGAAAGACAACCCTCAGAATGGGAGAAAATATTTGCAAATGAAGCAACTGACAAAGGATTAATCTCCAAAATATACAAGCAGCTCATGCAGCTCAATATCAAAAAAACAAACAACTCAATCCAAAAATGGGCAGAAGACCTAAATAGACATTTCTCCAAAGTAGACATACAGATTGCCAAAAAACACATGAAAAGATGCTCAACATCACTAATCATTAGAGAAATGCAAAGCAAGACTACAATGAGATATCACCTCAAACCGGTCAGAATGGCCATCATCAAAAAATCTGCAAACAGTAAATGCTGGAGAGGGTGTGGAGAAAAGGGAACCCTCCTGCACTGTTGGTGGGAATGTAAACTGATACAGCCACTATGGAGAACAGTATGGAGGTTTCTTAAAAAACTAAAAATAGAACTACCATATGACCCAACAGTCCCACTGCTGGGCATATACCCTGAGAAAACCATAATTCAAAAAGATAGATGGGGCTTCCCTGGTGGCACAGTGGTTAAGAATCCGCCTGCCAATGCAGGGGACATAGGTTCGAGCCCTGGTCTGGGAAGATCCCACATGCCGTGGAGCAAGCAAGCCCAGGCACCACAACTACTGAGCCTGCACTCTAGAGCCTGCGAGCCACAACTACTGAGCCCGCGTGCCACAACTACTGAAGCCTGCACGCCTAGAACCCGTGCTCTGCAACAAGAGAAGCCACCACGATGACAAGTCTGCACACTGCAACGAAGAGTAGCCCCCACTCGCTACAACTAGAGAAAGCCCGTGCACAGCAATGAAGACCCAACGCAGCCAAAAATAAAATAAATGTATATAAAAAAAACAAGTAAAAAAAAAAAAAAAAGATGTACCACAATCTTCATTTCAACACTATTTACAATAGCCAGGACATGGAAGCAAACTAAATGTCCATTGACAGATGAATGGATAAAGAAGATGTGGCACATACATACGATGGAATATTACTCAGCCATAAAAATGAACAAGATTGAGTTATTGTAATGAGGTGGATGGACCTAGAGTCTGTCATACAGTGAAGTAAGTCAGAAAGAGAAAAACAAATACCGTATGCTAACGCACATATATGGAATCTAAAAAAAACGGTGCTAATGAACTTAGGGGCAGGACAGGAATAAAGATGCCAACATAGAGAATGGACTTGAGGACACCGGGAGGGGGAAGGTTAAGCTGGGACAAAGTGAGAGAGTGGCATGGGCATATATACACTACCGAATGTAAAATCGATAGGTAATGGGAAGCAGCCGCATAGCACAGGGAGATCAGTTCGGTGCTTTGTGACCACCTAGAGGGGTGGGATAGGGAGGGTGGGAGGGAGACGCAAGAGGGAGGGGATATACGTATACATATAGCTGATTCACTTTGTCATACAGCAGAAACTAACACAACATTGTAAAGCAATTATGTTCCAATAAAGATTAAAAAAAAAAAAAAGTCCAGCCACGTGTTGTGCAGGGCACAGGCCTTCTGACCTTGCTTTTCAAGTGGGGGTCAGATGAGAGTGACCCGTGCTGCATTTCCTTCTTCGGCGCCTGGTCGCACCCCAGTCCAGCGGGGTCGGGCGGGAATCACCACGGAGACTGAGACACTGGCTTCGTGTCCCACATTCTGATCTGGCGCTCTCTTCTTGCAGGTGCGCACGTTTTGACCGACTCAGCAAGAAGGTGGATTTTCCTTGTGTCTAAAGAGAAGAAAATGTCCCCGTGTCTGTAGAGATGCTTTGCAGTTCAGCCCGGCTGAAGCTGACCGAATGAGACTATGGGCTGTGCCTCTGCGAAGCATGTTGCCACTGTTCAAAATGAAGAGGAAGCCCAGAAAGGGAAGAACTACCAGAATGGAGACGTGTTTGGTGGTAAGTGCAGTTGAGTTTCATCCTTGGCCCCTCCATCCAGGCCTTTCATGTGAACAATTGCAGTGTTCCTGTGTTCTGTTTGCCGGGGGGCGGGGTGGGGTGCAGGGGTGATGGGGGTTGTGGGTAGAGGGCTGATGAGAGATGATAAAAATCAAGGCAGATCTTTTACATTGGACAGTTTTCATCATAATTTATACCTAGAAGACTTTGAGGAGGATCATGGAGGTTTTATGCAGAGCTCACATTTAAATCAAGCTTTGAAGAACTAGTAGGACATAAACAGGTGCACGGGACAGTGGCCACAGGGTGTCCTGGTCCAGAACTGTAGGACTGAGCACATGGAGGTACAAAAGCGGGCAAGGATTTATAATGGAGGGAATGACATGTTTTTTGGAGTTTATTATAAGTTTATAAGGAATTACTCTTTCTGTGAATTAGAAATTCTCGGTTTCAAAAACACAATTACAGTGAACTTAGAAATCGTCTTTTAACCATCCTGTGATGATTCATAGTGACTTGAGACTATCTAGTGCAGAGGTCACAAACTACCAACCCATGGCCACATCTGGTTTACAAATATATTTTCTTTGGCCCCCAGAGAATTTTAAAATAAAAAAGCAAGGCGGCCTTTAAAAATCAGGATGTTTCACACAAAACCCCAAATTTCTTGAGAAGGTCTGACAACACTGATTTTCCATTTCCTTAGGCAACAGTTGGTGGAACGGGGTAGCAGTTGCCAGTTCAGTCCGAGTATGGCCTCCAGTAAACGGCTGAGCCCTCCCCGTGAACGCACATCAGGCCCAGTTCACTCACTGACGTTCCATGCCTGGCTACTTACAGCCTTTTGAGTTTGCCTAATCTTGAGTTTGTCCTTTGGAAGATCAATGATTACCCTGATGCAGGGTGGCTATGGGTTTGTACAAAATTCCAGTTAGTCCAGGCAGATGAAGCAGTTTTTGCTGAATTACTTTAACAATAATACCCAAGACTTGACATTTTCATGGTACTTTTATTCATAAAAGCACCTTTACATCTCTTATTCAGTAAAGAACCTCATTGCAATGATGTTTACATGTCAACAACTCAAGTTGCACTATTCAGTCTCTGTCAAGGAATTCTATTGCGTTTCAATCTCTAGCTTTTGATCCATTGCATTGGTTGTTTCAGTCCCCTGGGGAAGAATTGGGAACAATGTGGAAGGGGTAATGCTCTGTTACAAGTGGACTCATGTATATGGACGGAGGAAGATTTCATTTTGGTTTGTTTTAAGGAGATGTATTTGTTGCCTGGAACAAATTTGCTTCTAGTGGTCACTACCAATAGAAACAAGAACTGTGGAGAAGAGGGACATATGAGCATCTTAATGAAGTAGAATCCAGCTCTTTGAAACCACACCTTCTGGGAAAACAGCTAATGGGAACTAGAGTCATTACTGTTACTCGCAAACACTTAACTTTTAAGAGGAAATAATCTAATATCAGGGATTTGTTTAAATTAACTTCTGTGTGAGGTTCTGTGTCATTGTCATTTTTGTAATTAGAGCTACCACTTATGGCGCCTTCACCATATGTCAGACACCAAGAAGCATTTACATTCATTTTCATGTTGAATTTTCATAACAATCCTGTGAAATCTGTACCATCTTAATTTTACAGATTTGGAAGCTGGAGCACAGTGTGACTAACTGGTCCAAAGTTACTCAGCTACTAAGTGGTAGAATCAGATGTCTCAGACTCCAAAGTCCACATTTCTTTCTCAATGTCATTTCCTGCTGCCCCCCATCCGTCACTCATTCCTTAACGCGAAAAAGTATTCACTGGCCGGTACACGGTGTGTCAGACCCTTTGCTAAATGCCATGGAGGATACAGAGATAAACCTTGCTTTCTAGGAGTTCGTAAGAGGATGAAGAAGTGTTATGAGGCAGAATAAGCCAAATACCAGAAAAGGAAAAGACATACACATCGTGATAAGAGTCAGAGGGTTGAGAGACTGCCTTAAAAGGTGGGATCAGAGCAGATTTCTTATAGAGGTGACAGCTGACCCTGGCCCTAAAGGACTGGAGAATCTAAACCTGTCGGATGAAGGGTGTAGGAAGGAACTAGATGAGGAAAGGCTAGAAGTGATGTGACTCGTATTCAAGAATTACAAGTAATCCAGTTCGAATGTAATATAAAATATAAGTGAGAGGGAATTGGGTACAAAACTAAGTTAGAGTTATTAAATTATGGAGAATGTGGAATACCAAATTACAATCTGTAGAAAGGTAACCTTAGATTTGTGAGAGCAAAAATTTAGTGATATTCAGTATATTGTATTAATATTTTGCTTGTCAATGAGACCATCTAACCATTCATTTGCTAATATGGTTACAACTTTTATAGCTAAGAAGGCGTTCTGTTGTTCTAAAGTACCATGTGTAGTTTGCAAATGTTAGCATCTAATAAAGGAGTCTTGTATTAGTCAACTCTTGCTGGGTAATAGACAGCCTCAAGATCTTAGTGGCATTCAGCAATAATCATGTCTTTCTTGATCACGAGTTGCTTGGTCAGCTGGATTGGCTCTGCTCCATGTCTCTCTCAGCTTCCTCCTGGGACCAGTGAGCCAAGGGGGGGTATGCTCTTCTTTTGCAAAAGGGTAAAATTATAAGTGATACACATGGTGCCTCTTAAGCTTAGGCTTAGACCTGGCACGCTGTCACCTGCACCCACATTTTACTAGCCAAATCAAGTCACATGAACAGGCTCAAAGACAAGGGGCAGAGAAGTCCTTCTGACCACAGCACATTCATGGCAAGGGTGTGGATGTAGAGAAGGGTCAAGAATTGGGGCTAATAATTCAGTCTACCCCATGCCTGCCCAGTCATTGCTGTCTGTGTGGCTCCATGCCATCAAGTGCACTCAAGGCCTCTGCCAGCTTCTCTTCATCCTCCTGGTACTCACACTGAAGTTTCATTCACTCCAGCATTCGTCATCTTGTTACTCTCTCTTACATCAGCATTTGCAGGTTTGTGGCATTGTGTTAGATAAAGCAGGAATACAGGGAGGGAGAGAGCTTCATGTACCAGTCCAGGGAGAGTTTTCCTAGCCCTACAGGGTTCTGGGAGTAGAATTGTCAGAATCCATTGTGAACGTCAGTACCAGTATCCTAGATGTTACTGAATGCTAGAGTTTGAATATGACAAGAGAAGGTCCTATCTGTTTCTCCACTTGAATTAGTTTGCAAGCAGAAGTCTACAAAATCCCAATAGAACCACAGATGGTCACAGATGAATGGTAGATCTGGCTCACTTTTCGCCATTTGATATCTTTTGTCACCCATTGTTTCAGTGATCTATTATCACATAGCAAAGGACTCCAAACTTAGCAGCACTGATTTATTATTTTTCCCAATTCTGTGGGGTGGCTAGGGTTCATCTGCTGTTTTTTTTTTTTTTTTTTTTTTTTTGGGTGGGGTGGGTCGGGTTCTTTTTTTTTTTTTTTTTTTTTTTTTTTTGCCTGGGCTCAGCCATGCAGCTGCATTCAGCTGGGAGCTCAGCTGGGCTCGACTGACCACAATGGCTTCAGACCTCTCTCCCTCTGGGTAGTCAAATTTTCATGTGGCAGCTAGCTCCCAAGAGAGGAAGTAGAAGCTTCCAGGCCTCTTAAGACCTGGGTTTGAAAGTACAAGAATGTTATTTGTGCCGTGTTCTGTTGAGCAAAGCAAGTCACAAGACCAACCCAGAGTCAAGGGAGCACAAAGGCTCTCCATCTGTTGAGTCTGTGCCTTTGGGAGGGGAAGAACTGCTGGGAGCTGTCTTTGGAGATGGGTTACCACACCCATTGACAGAGGCAATGAGAACTCATGACTGGATTGTATTCCAACCTGGACAGTTATATTCTGCTTTCTAAATCACGCCTCTATTTTCCACCGAATAAAATGGCCTCATTCACTTGTCAAAAGCTTAATGCTTGAAAGACGTTATTACCACATGTTGTTGAAGAGTTGACCAAGTCTGTGAAAGGTGGCACATTGGGGGATAGCTCTGAAGTATATGTCTCTGAGTGTGTGTACACACACACATTCGATCCTTTTCCTAAAAGTGTTCATTTAATTTCATAGCTTCTAAGGACATGCTGGGAAGCGTTGATAAGCAGTGTGTTTTTACAAATAGTAATTTCCATTTGTATGAAGCATTTTGGTCTCTGTGATATTTTGGTTATTTAGGAGATGATGCCAAAAGCTCAGCTTCCCTCTGCACCGGTGCTGAATTGAACCTCAGAGACATATTTTTGGGTGAAGTAGAAAAGGATCGCTTTATTACTTTGCCAGGCAAAGGGGGACACAGCGGGCTCCTGCCTCGGAAAACTATGTGTCCCCACTTGGAGAGGATAGTGAGAAGTTTTATTGTAATGGTTCCAAGAGGGCATGATGAGCTTGTGGACATTCTTCTGATGGGTTGGTGGTGAGGTAAGTAGGAGTCAGCGTCATCAACCTTCAGGTTCCAACTTGTCTGGGGTCTACATGCTTGTGGGTAGCTACCATCGTTAACTTCTCCCACCTGGAGGGGGTTTCAGTATTTGCAAAACAGCTCAAAGATGTTGTTTGTATCCCTTGATGGGGAGCCAGGACCTTGCCCCAAGGCTGCACTGTTGTTTCTCTTGACTGTTTGTTTCTCCCTGGTCTGGCATCCCCTCCCTTCCCTAATTAACAACTGTTTGAATCTGCCCACTGGGACTCAGGGAAGGTCATGGAGGCTGAACGAAGGCTCCTTCCTGTAATCAAAGAAATGGGGGAAACAGAAAGGCTTTGTGCCCAGGAGCCCCACAGGGCCCTGCTCGGTATCAGAGACCCACCACTCAAAATGTGTGGAACAGAATTGCTATAGAATATTCCACCATTGAGGATTAACTGACAAATGGGCATCTTGACTCCTAGATTTCATAGACTTCAGGAGATCATTGACAAGGAACTTTATCACGGACGTTGACCTATAGACTTTCTTTCTACTTTAAGTATAGGA